GATTCCCGTTGGTGCATAGTGTTAATTGAGTTAGTATGTATGTAGAATTGTCGATATTGTGCTCGCAGCGGCGGTTTTCAGTTTTGTCATTTCAAGTTTTGTTTTATTTAATGTGCACGAGTTTTAAATGACCTCTCAGGCCAAGAGATTGCATGTTTGGGTATTGTAGCGATGTCGTCATATGGAATTTCGCTTTATTTAGTTGCTAATTTCCTTAAGAGATTGCAGAGTATCAACTGTGTGTCTAGTTTTAGATAATTTTGTGGGTACATGTCTTAATATAATTTCTATACAGGTACACCTTTTTATACATTTACCTTTGGTTCATCATCATCAGCCCATTATAGAACTTGTCCTTATCTTCCTTGGCCTATTAATGCCCCAACTGTTGGGGCACAGGCCTTCTCTATGGATAGTCAGATTGGGCCGTGACCCACCACCCAGTGCGAATTGGTGGGTGCTAACGACTACAGATGCAGCCGGGACTAAAGGTGCCTTCCGAAGCACGGCGGAGCTCGAGTTAATAAGTTTTTTGTCGCCCATCCAATGACCGACCGATTGCGAAAATTGCTTAACTCCCACGATCGCAGCCTGAACGTGCTAACCACCTGCGCCATCAAGCTCCTCCAAAGGGGTCTGTCTTCATAAAGGGTTCTAAATACTCATTATATTAAGCAGAAGTTATTGTTTTTCGAGTACAACAAATTACTGAGAGAAATTTCATGAGATAAATAAAATATCAAATATCATTTTGACGACCTCCGTGGCCGAGTGGTTTGTACGCCGGGTTTCATGGTTCGAATCGCGGTGGGTGCAGATGTTTGTGTGATGAATACGAGCATTTGTACTCCAGTCATGGATGTTTAACATGTATTTCTATACAAATATACTTATATATGTACAGTATATGTATTCTATCCGTTACCCTAGCATCCCATAACACAAGCCTTACAGTGCTTACTTTGGGGCTAGGCTAATTGGTGTGAGTGTCGGAAATATTTATTTATATTTTAAATATTAATATTGTAATTTTAACGACTAATACAGCAAAATAAGTTCATTCGTACCGTATTTTGTTATCTACTGCAATAAAAACTTCAATTAATGTGAACTTTGCTAGTTTAAAGAACCGGTAATTATATATAAAGTCGTAACATTTTACTGGACAACACGTGTGCTTCTGTTTAATAATTATACTTAATTCCGACAGCAATTTCAATAGAATTATTACCCAAGAGGAGATTGTAATCAGAGACAATCTAGGACACAAATGTTTTGCAATAGTTAATACAGAAGCAAAGATTAATTTATTTGATAAAATTTTATACCATTTGTCGCACTACAACGTTAACAGTAACTGTAGAGCCTAATTTATTAATTATAATATAACTAAACTTTTTGTCAAAGTTGAACTTTTATTAAATATTTTGTAAATAGCCCCAACAAGTAAGGCGGGTTCCTTCTATCTGGCAGAATTTTGTAGCTCCGAAATTCATTTGGGATAACACACTTGGCATAAGTTTATATAAACGAATATTTGAAGACCCATTCGACGTAAGTTAATTGAGTTTTTTTTTTGCGATCATTATGAGAAATCATTATGATATCAATCTTCGTGCAGTAATACGATGCCTACTGGTGAGCCCCGCTCGGGTTATGATGGCAGGCATATTCTCCAAAAAAAGGTATAAACGAGAATTTAATATTAAGCAAGTAAAAAATGTTATAGTAAACATCTCAGCCCCACTGGGTAGGGAATTTGGATAAGGACAAATATGTAATGCCCGAGTATATAGATTCAGCTTAGCTAATAAATCAGTAGGTCATATTTTTTTCTCCTCAATTTTCATTCAATATAATATGCAGAACCATTAAGATTTCTTTTAACGAACCGAATTGAGTTTTATTTTGAGTTAAGGCGTTATAGAATACATCTTCCTATAAGCTATTAAATAACGCAATCTAAATGCAAAACTTCATAGTAAATAACGCAACGAAAGATCTCAGTTGGCGATCGCTCGTTTACGATGTAATTCATTAGTAAACTATCTCGGTGTTAAGATCTAATTAGCATCTTAAGACATTCTGAATTAGTTGCGTAGGCGACTCTGATGAACCTCTGGATTTCTTCGCAACAAATTTATGATCTGCCCCAGCTTGTATTAATTAAATTACTTAGCAACATGAATAGTTATGTACAACTTTTATAAAAAATAAATGTTATGTTATGTCTTAATATTTTTATAGCCTCAAGCGTCTAAACGTTTCTATATAAAGAAATAAGTACCTAATAAGTGAATGATTGAAATTAAAGGCATTTCATTTCATTTGCATAAGAAACAGTCTTACATTTGCGCCGACTGGTTATTTTTTTAGTAAATATTTTCTTTAGATCTTGAAACAGTTCTTTTATCTATATTCTTTTTTTGTTAAACATATAGAACATCATTAAGGACTAAGTATTTATGATGATAGTTTTATGAAACATGGTCTCAAAATAAAACCGAGACTATGTGCTAGGTTTGATCGTTTAAGCTTTTATAGCAAACGTAAAACTTGTCCAACAAGTTAGTAAAGCAATTCTGACAGAGCTCTTTTGAAAATAATATGTATAATATTATTTGGTGGAATTGTGGTAAGGGAGGTGGATTTTATACTTATTTATGTTAGCCTTTTACTGCACCCTTGATGCTCTGCCAGTAATGCAAGAGGAGTGGCAGTAGCTGTAGCATATTGACAGTCACTGCAACGAGTCTCTGCACCAAAAACGTAAAGGAATCGAGCGAAGCATCGATTTAGTGTACTGTCGATTTTGCGTACTGTCGATGTAGTACATCGATTTTGGGTTCTGTCGATTATTTAACCCGCCCATGGACTATTTTTGATACAGCAACTGTCGATGCTGTGACTGTCCATGTTATGAACCAGACGCATGCAAGAGATAAAACGACGTGTAAGTAAAAATATAATACCTATGTATGGTCATCTTCAAATTTACAACATTCAATTATTAACTTAAGCATACCGTCTGTTATAAGTCGACTGCCAGTCATTATAATAATTTAAAACAACTCCATTTAATTGGATGTCTCGTTGGAGAAAGGATTTTGATGTGAATTATTTCTCACGATGTTCGCTATTTATTCGAAACGTGCAAGTCGTAGCCCGGATATATCCATCAGGTGACTAATTTGAATTTATTTACTGCTCGCGAAGAAGAGTTATATAGTTTGAGCTATAAACCGACATTCTTGTTATGGGACTAGATAAAAGAAACTCGAAACAACACAAATATATTAACAAATGTCTCACATTTATACAAAAATAAAAAATGTGTGAAGGTAATATTATAACATTTATTTCCTTTAATCAACGCTTAAGTATTAATGATGTAAACAATACATAAACATAATAACATCACCAAAGGGAATTGTTATTTCATTGTGGTTATTTCTCACGGGTGTAAGGTGGAGGCTACTTCTCCATATGGAGGATGTTTCTACTTCTTCAATTGGGCGGATACTATGCCCTTAGCCCTTGCTACCTTTAATATACAGAGTTACAGTAAATGTTCACGTTATTCGTAACAGTTCTAAAAATGAAATATCCCTCGTAAGAGTAGAAACACAAAAAGTGTTGAATTTGCTAGTTACAATAATAAAACGCCAAGTTAAAATTAAGTTGTTTATGTAAGGCTGTTTTCGTCTTATATAATATAGCCCGTTGCTTGTGGGCATAATTCTTCTCAAATGCAAGCTTGTATTAAGTTAAAACCCCCTGATGTCTAAGGATAGCTATTTATCAGGTACAGATGAAAGTCATAAAAATCTTTGGATATTGTTTATCAAATGAAAGGTAAAATGTTACTTAGAGATAAGTCATACAAGAGTTAGAAGCCTTTCATTTCTATCGGAGGCTATGATCCGCCTCAAGTCAACTATTCCCGGAGGCCTCTGTCGCCATCGGATGTCTGATTTCAATTTAGATTAGCGCTAAACATGTAGCGTAAAATCTCATCTAACGAGTACACCTGTTAAACTTCAAATAATTTATGTGTACTAACGCCCCGTACCATTCAAGTTGTCGTTAACATAACGAAGTTAACCGCAGATTTCCTTATTCGTTCCGGACATCTTTATGTGTTTTGTCAGAGAGCATGAATGCAAAAAGTTTGAAAGAAAGTTGAATAATATCACTTTTCATGCATACAACATTTTCAGTCTTTTTAAAATAATAATCTAAGTTACTTTGAAATATTTCATATTTTAAATTTACTTAGAAACATATTTCGCTGGCATGATTAATATTATCAAAAAGATCATTTATGAAAAACCCGCAAATTTCAATTGTTAAAGAAGTTTTTTTTTTAATAAATTGGGGCTTTTAATATTTTCACTTATGACTATACTTTCTGGTCTTAATATAGGTATAATAGTCCCGTAGCAGCACTGACCAATCAAACGCACTCCAAGACGTCAAAAAGGGTGAATATAGATGATTCTGCCACTTTGTGATGCTACTTAATAGAATAAGGCAAATCGTCACTTGTCGTCTCTGAGTATTTATAACCATCAATTACATAATATTTATAAGCATCATTATCATTCAGCTATTCTACGCCCACTGCTGAGCATAGACCTAGCCCAAAAAAATCCACTCTGATCAGTACTAGTGGCATCCAGTGGCTTCCTGCAACCTTTGATAGATCATGGCGGGAGGCAGACGACCTAACCATTGACTAAATCTAGTGCATAGTCGCCATTCAAAAATCTTTTCGCTTTTACATCCCCAGGTTTTTCCGTGCCATGTGTTCCACCTACAGCAATCCTTCAAAGGCTATCGGTAACCTTCATTATATCAGCCGTACGACGCCCTCTGCTGAACATAGGCCGTCCCCAAAGATCTTCACAGTTATCGGTCCTACGCCACTTGCATCCAGCGACTTCCCGCGACCTTCGGTGATCTTTTCTTTATACTATGAATTTGTAATCAAAACTCACCTCTGGTAGTTGTGTTGTTGATTGTGCATCAGCGGTTGCGTCGGCTGAGCCAACAGCAACTGTTTCTGTTGCTGTTGCCTCTGCAACATTTGTTTGCCGAATACGCCGTATCCAAAACCATATATCTCATCTTCTTCTTTATCTGTGAGGCAACTTGAAGGCTGTAAGAAAATAAAAAGACATCTTAAATTACATGCCTCTAGTTATAATAATTTTTTAAAATGGGTATGAAGTACGGTTCATTGAATTATTAAGAGTTGACGTTTAGGAACAATAAAAGGTTTCGTAGTAACAAAAAGTTTTAAAAAGAGTTGATAAACGATTTTTTTGCTTGAAAACATAAGAAAAAAAAATCCTAGATATTCCTTTACTTACAAAAACTTTTACTTTTAATACTGTGATTTTTTGTGTTTCATGTAAAATGAGTGGCAAAATCGTGGTAAGTGCTCACGATAGTCTGTAGTGAATGATAGTGTTTATTCTTTGTAATCTTCTGTAAGGTGGAGTTTGCCATCCCAGCCACTCCAAACCGACTTATTTCTTGTAATACTATTATTACTTTTCTGAGCTTCGTGTCAATTATTAATTGTGAAATGTAACTGCCTATTAGAAAAATCGCAATACTTGATTCTGGGCTTATTCATGAGATAAAACAAGTAGATATATAGCTTTAAGCGTATAACTACGACACAGGCAGCGTCGTAAAACGCACCCCTCTAACAAGATCTTGAACGCTAATGGTACTAACGTGGCGGTGCTCTTTAGGCCGCTAATGACGATTTGAATACATTGCAAATTAAATTAAATACATCACATATAGTGTATCTAGTAGCATGATTTTCTACCGATGAAAAATGTCAAGATAGAAGATTAGTATGCTAATAGCATCTCCATCTGTAATTTTGGATGAGTTACATGCACTGTTCACACTTTACAAATTTGGGAGCCGCGACTACACCCGCCTTTCGGCATGCACAAGGGGGACCGCGTCCCCGGGTGACGGTGCAGGAGTATTGTCTGGTTTTTACAAAAACAAAAGGTTGTTTAGCGCTTGGGAAGGCGACATCTCCTCCCACTCGTGTCTTCTCATCTTATCCAGATGGTTGACACGTCACCACAGTGAGTCGAGAACTGATCCGCGTATCTCGATAGATTAACAGGTGATGTGTTTGTCGTCATTCTAATGTTACTTACCGAATATTTTCCAGGCACATAAATAGGCTGCGAATGCGACGTAGTCAGGTTGTTCAGCGCGAGGGAGCCAGGGCTGGCGGAAGGCGGCGTCTGAGGCGTGCCTGGCCCCCCGAGCACCCTCATCCTGGGCGACATCTCTTCCCACTCGTGTCTCCTCAACTCCTCCAGGTGGTCGAGCACATCGCCATAGTGCGTTGAGAACAGGTCCGCGTATCTCGACGCCAAACCTTCTAAGTAACCCCGGTCGCCGTCCTGTAAAGAGAGTTATAATCAATAAATCTGTATACGATAACCAACTGGAATTTAGTTTTAGTGGTACGGCGAGCTGTTTTCCGCGATTCGAAACTATGTGCTTAATTTGGGTGAGGAATGGCATCAGACCTATTTTTACTAGAATTTAGACAAAGAAAGCAAAATATAAACGGTAAATGTGAATTGGATTTATTTTCTAACAGAATAATGTAAATCATTGTTGTCAATTTTAACGTTTATCATTATAAAAAACTTGAAACCACAGGGTTTAATTTAGACTTTCGTAGTTAGTGCTAACGTGATGCTATCACTAAATCACCGCTGTTTCGTGTCTTTTCCCATTTGATGAGGCATCAATGCGTTGTAGTGGTTCTTAAAGTACTTTCGAACGCCCTTAACTATATCTGTGTATTTAAAGCCTCAATAACTAAGTTAGTTTTGAGTCACAAATTACTTAATCTGTAAACATTCTGAAATGTTTTAAACTTTATTGACAACATTGTACCGCTGTTACGAAAACTTTGTAAAGATCCTTTGTTTATTTCGTTAATTTAGTTTTGCTCTGTTTTGTTGATAGCACAATAAGGCAACTGTAATCTGACTATGCTATTGTCTCAATCTTAATTATTTTTTAAAGAAAGTTTACGAATAAAGCTCTTATAAACAAAAATTAACTTTGATCCCGCAAAAGAGCACAGCATTGAACACGAAAAATAGCTGTGGCCCGTTACAAAATGAGAATTAATACAAAAGGCAGAAGTTAAGCCGACCGCGGGACGCTCGAAAGTAACAAAATAAACAATGCAGAATAACCGCCATATAGATATAAATACCGCCATGCAGAATAAACACCGTAAAGGAACACTTTCATTATGACTTCAAAACCCACGGCTTTGATAAAAACATCACGGTTTGAATCTCATCCATAATATCTTCAATTGAAAAACTTTAATGTCGTCGATGACAGGCAGAGTAGGTTTTCTGTCTGAAAATCTTTCATCATGGTGCATTTGGGCAGGCATATTCTTTTTTTAGCCCCAGCTGCCACAGATCTACTTTCTTCTGTTTTGGGGTGTATATTCTGTTTCGTAATCATTGTCCATAACTGAATCTTTATTTAGGATCCAAAGCCATTATCGAAAATGTCTGCTATCCCAAGAGGCATTAAACCGCGACCAACAAAATTCTATTTCCAGATATTTTTTTTTAAAGATTCGACTGGAAAGACAAAAGTTTTAGTACTTATTCGACGACGCTTTTACTATAAGCAACGCTACATTGAATGTAAGAAATCGAAGTTCATCAATGAAGTAAGTACCTCCGTACTTAGAATTCAACCAGTGGATAGCGGTACGAGTCAAAGATGGCCAAGGGTTTATTTCCATTTTTAAATGAGAGCGGCTGAGAGCTTTGTCGGCTCAGAGTTTGTGCTCTGCGTTTTAAGTGGATTAAATCGCTCCACGCTCGTAAAAGCGACAAGTGCTTCAGCTAAGAATTAAAGTAACTGTTCGACTTTTGCATGAGAAAGTGCTCGCGGGACCTTCGCTTCGCACTCACTCGGCGCAATTTGATGCGGTGCCCGGTTTATTTATTTTTAGAGGAAATCCTGTTCGATTGAGGTTTTAGCGGGATACCATCGCTTTGTGAATATCGAATGAAAGAAATTCATTAACACTGTCTGAATGGAGTGCTTGCTGGGTTAATTCCACGCTCCCACGCTCTTAAGGTACAACTTTTAAATAGAAGTTTAAAAGTCAATATCCAAGATTCAACTTACATAAGCTCAACATGAAAGTGCGTCTACCTACGGAGAAGCGTTAAAATATACGTTCTGACGAACTAAGTCAAACAATAGCTATAAAAGACAATAATAAACGTCTCATGAAGCTCAGGCTGTTGGAATAACAATAGCTGTTGAATTTAAATGGTACATTTTGACCACATCCAGTCACTTGGAGAATAGAAACGATGTCATTGGATGGTTTGCCAACAACTATGGTTACGGTAAACAACCCACAAAATTGAAATATTATTTTGATGGAAAAATAGGAGTTAAAAATTACAAAATAAAATATGTCTTCGCTCTCAATACTAAATACTAAAATAATACATTTAGCCAAAAACTTTAAATTATTGCTTTTAGCACCTAGTGATCTAAACTCAAAAAAACGAATATTTTGTTATAGAACAGACTCATTGAATATTTTATAATAATTAATTTAACCTAAAGAAAATTTAATGGAGAGTACTTCTTGAATTAACAAAATCAAATAAAAAGTAATTCTGTTTTAATCCCATTAACGCCAAAATTAAAACTACCTTTATTTTATAAAAATAAAACTACCTTTATTTTTCTTCTTTTTATGATATTACTTGCATAACTCGGGACAAATAAAAATACATATAAAATCTGTGAAAAAATAAATAAGTCAGAATATATAGGTATGTACTCATCTGGGTACACTGGGCGGATTAGAAGTGAAATTTTAAAAAATACGGTTGCTCAATACACGATTTTCTGAAAAAAACTAATAACGCCAAGATATTATGCAGTTACGATATTATTACATATCGCAATTGGTTTCCGATACACTCTAAGTTATTGTTCTTGTTTTTAGGTCAAACTCAATAATGATGTAGGCCAATTCCCTGCCTTTGTTGTTCTTCCAATAGCACGTCTAAACGCTAGTCGATCAACGTATGCCGTTTCCTCTTCATGTTTGTTTATTGTGACATGTAATCACCAAGTATTACAAATAGCCAAATCAAGAAGGTAAGACATTTTTTTTTTTTTGTTGACGATGGAAAATGCATACCAAACACTACTTGTTGTCTCTTACGGCTTCTCGATAGTGACACATCAGATGATCCATCTAGTCAACGCATTTTTTTTGATTATGCACCAACTCTTCCTTTACCTAAGTATTCTATGGCATTGTCCTCATTGAAAAACATTGTTGGCTTTACAACGTACTGTTGTTATTTCATTGCTAGTATCAAAGCGATAGTAGTGATCTGATCTTATATTTTTTATTTTCAGCAAACACGGTAATTTTTTCATTTATTTTTCAAAGAATTAGTAAAGCCACTAGTTATGGCGGCTAATGTATAACAGAATAGCCATCAGAACCAAATCTGATATCCAAACCCTTTAAGTTGATTCCCACTTCAGATTGATTTGCAGGGTGACAGGTGTACCTGAGTCTTATTTTCTACTTCGTTTCAAAAGCCCAACGAAATTGAATAAAGTTTCATCATCCCTTTTTTGCAGTCTGGAATGTCATGATCAGTAATCGGTAATACAATCTCCTTGGAAATTTTCTTTGGAAAATAGAATAAAACAAACTATGGATTAATTATGAAGAAGAAACTCTTCTTTCCCACTCAGGCCACGGCATCGTCATTTTCTGTGAATATTCATTCATTGGCTTCCTCCAGTTTCTTATACTTTTTGTAGCTCATAAATATACATCGGTTCACCATTAGAAAATAGTCAAAATAAAAGAAAAGAATATTACATATTACAATTGAAATCTTGATCAATAGTCAATCCTAGAAATCTTGTTAGTTTTACTTCGTCAATTTTGTTATCTCTTTAGTGAACGTGAAGGTTAAATATTTTAATTATTTTATTATAATATTAGTTTAAGCAAAATTTATTTTCAAGTTTCTATGTTAAGTCATTTCATTGTTTATTATAAGTACTAATTGAATACATTTAAATAGCAAAAACTTAATAACTACTTAGAATCCAGATTACCTTAACCTACTTAAATAAATAATTTACAAAATAAAAAAATATATTATTTATAGATTCATTTTTCACTATTGATTAAGGAACTGTCTATGGCGTCTCACCTCACTTATGAAGTTTCGTCCGTATTTTCACGGTCGTCTCGTACATATGCGTTAATATAAAACAACTGGAGTGGCATTCTGTAAAGACACATTTCACTTTCGAACGCGGATCCTTGTCGGATTTTATTATTGGCATTCTGTAGTCAAGTGAGAATCAACGCTAGCGCTACTAGGCGAGAGTGGCGGTGAAATGAACTAACGCAGGATATAGCTTGACAATATGCTCAAGGATTTGAAGTTTAATGGCATTCTGTAACGAATTTTACACTCACTTTCGGATCCGCACTCGAATTGTTATGTCAAAGTGACTTAGTGTGTAGCTATGGCAATCAATCAAACAAACTGCTAATAAATTACGATTTTTGTTTAGAGAAGATCTTTTAAAGTAAGTATTATTAATGTAGGTCTCATTGTTTATTTAATAATTCAAAAACTCATGTCCACCTATTTTTTTCAGATCTCACTTTATTGCCTTGTGCTTAATATTAATGTCAAGAAGTATAAATGAAATTGCCTCAATTTTAAGTCATCCAGACATCGTAAAAATATATAACATTTCCGCGAAATGCATCTCAACACCAAGTGTTGAAGGAACAGTAAGTAAACTCTGATTAACTAGAATAACCAATAAGTTAAATATTATATTATAAATCAAGTAGACCAGTGTTTCTTATAACTTTTACAATCCTGTAACAGTATCAGAATTCTAAAAAATCTATGGGCCCGTGTCTCAAAGTATTTTAGGTAATGAAATCATAAAAAAATACTTTTATTGGCAGTTACTTTAGTAAAGTAAATATTAAATGAGCTATTCTTTACCTTTGTTACAGTTTTTTTGAGAAATTTCAAATACGTGGAGTTGTTGGTTGCATAGATGGTATCTTTGTCACCATGATACGACCCAAAGAAAATGAAGAACGGTATTATTGTCGTAAAGGTAAGCATGCAAGAAATGTTCAAGTAGTAAGTACCTACACCTTTAACTGATTTTCATCTATTTGTTACTTTCTTAAAACTTGTCATGATTCATGAACATATAAATAAATAAGATTATGTAAAGATAAATTAAAAGACTGGAATTAAATTTTGTAAATATTTTGTTACAGATTGTTGATGCCGATCTCAATGTTTTGCATGTCGAT